TGGCCCGCTGTCGAGCACTATTAACTGATGCCACGGCCCGGATTCTGGTCCCCCACCGGCCAGAGATCCTCGCCGCAACAAAGGCGACACCACCGTCTGGACTCTGGTCTCCCACCTGCCAGAGATCCTCGGGAGCTGCTGCTGCGGCGGAGCTCCCGGGTGCTCCGGACCGATGGTGGTCTGGATCACACAGCAGGCTTCCAGCGCGACGTTGGAGTATAACACACCGCACGTCCAACCCGTCCCCCCCCCCCCCCCCCCCCCAGCCAAACGGCCACACTGAAGCAGCCGTTCATCTGGTCAACCGCCGAGGCGTCCGTGGGTTGGGTCCGGCCGTTCGTCATGATGTACAAACCCGAATTCCCGTCCACGCCTCACATGCCCCTCCCGTCCGCCCACCCGAGCCGACAAATCTGGCGCGGCTGCGGCGGGCGGCGCCGCTTCCGGTGGCCACCGCGAGCGGCGCGGCTGCCGTGGTCAGGGCGCGCGCCGCCGCGTCACGTGGCCATCTGGCCGCCACCGGCGCGCACCTGCCGGCTGTCAGCTGACCGCTGGGGTCACGGCCGGCGGCACGTGACGGCCGGCGGGCGGCGGAGCGGCTGTCATGGCGGCATACAACGCAATACGGCGTTGGGCAAATGCAGCCTCAATTGAAAAGGAAACCATGCTTCTGACAGCATCTCTCACTGCTTTTGGACTGTTTCAGCTTTGTCTGTATATTTATTCCGCACACACACACACACATATGCATATATATATGTATATATATAAACATATATTCTTCTTTTTTTCTTTTCGCGCAACAATCCCTTTCTCAGTCAGCATATGTTGCCACAAATTTTAGATGATTAACTGTACATTTGTGCTAAAGAAGACATAAGGTGGTAAATTTTATGTCTGACCCGCTATGTAGCCAGCAATGCCCATGTGAGGCCATGCAGCCATGGCGTCTGCCGGCAAAGCCATGCCCACACGTTGGAGGCATGTAGGCTCAAAAGTGTCAGCTCTAGTGTTGACTATGAAGGGCGTTTATATATGCATGAATTACTACTATATAAGCTCCCGCTGCTGGTGTAGGCTTGTTTCAACAAAAGCATATATATGCTGCCTTGCGGGGCTGAATGTTTTCTTTGCCGTGTGGTATCCAAAGACTATATTCCATGTACATTTGTTGATGTACAAATATAGGTAGATCACCGAACGCACGTCCAGGGAAGAAATGCCGGTGGTATCTACATACGTATTCTAGCTCACATACGGAAAAAACGATTTTCATCATAGCAAGAAATATTAGCATAGAGGAGCTATTAATGGCTCTCTGCTAGCCAGGGCTTTGTGGCGTTATCAAGATCGCTTGTTGTCAGCATATGTACTCGATGTGTGGGTTTAAATGCCCCAAACGCTCTTCAATTCGACAGGGTTTCTAACATTTGTGAATCTGTGAATATATTATGTATGAATATGCATTTTTCAATGCTGAAAAACAAAACGCACAGCCCAGAAAAGCCAGGATATGTCCAATAAACCAAAAAATTACACTACCGTCATAAGCTCTTTAAAAATGAATTTGACCGTCTGCCAAGACTTATGAATTGTGAGCCACTCGTACCCATGAGCATGTATCATAACACGTTTGGTTTTGGTATGAGACGTTAGAACCACACGTTTGTGCTTGGTCAAGGTAACCGACGCTTCCTTATTATCGTTGCGTAACCAGTTCAAGCATCATCCATTGGTGAACTGAGGTTGATTATCGAGAGCTCGTAACTCATAATACCGGAAAACCGGAGCCTTAAACGCTTTCCTGAAAACGCAGATCCTGCATTGTTCCACATGGTCCCGGCATCCCACACGGGTACCGAATCTCTGAATTTTGAGAGCTCGTCACAGGATCTCTACAAAGGATGAATCAAGCTATATCGAAATACAACATCGCCTATCTATTTACCCAAATAACGTGTCATTTGTGCACGAACGGAAAAACCTGCCGAAACCCGGGATCACACCAGGCAACCTTGTATCTCTAGTATCCCATCTGAGCTCTCCCAACTGAGGTATTCCGGTACTTATGTGTGAATATGAGACACCACCAGCGTTAAAGTGTTAAGTAACAGTCAAGTAATTTAGTATATGATATGGTTTATCAACTCCTACACAGCAGGTACTCGGCTGTATACAAACTCGACACGCTTCCATCTACTAAACCACTCCTTCCATGGAAAAGCCTGCCGAAACCAGGGACCAACCACGGAGTATGATATCTTCATTCTGACGCTCTGCAGATCTCCAAAATTGTTGAGCTGCAAATCTCAAATGGGTGCCAAGCCTCCTACTACTGAAAGCTCCTCACACGGCCCCTGCAGACGGGGAACAATATATGGAAATATAATATACATATGGAATATATGGAAACACAACGTATCGCGTATCTACTTAACCCATTAACCCATCACTCATCTACGATCGGAAAAGCCTGCTGAAACCAGGAGCCTTTATATCTTCAGCCTAACGTTTTCCCAACTGACCATTTTAGTACAAATATTTGTGATATAAGACACCAGCTGCGTCAAAGTGTTGAATAGAATGGTTTACATTTGAGAGGATATTGAAGCAAATGTCAGATACGATGAAACAATCTCAATTGCGACCAACGGCATATCTCTTATTGTGAAAAAGGCTGCTCTAGACAGCACAATTATCTATTTTCTCAATACGTCATGGTTTGATTGCGTCATCGTACATTGCACATCATTGATTGAGAGCCAATTGACGGCTGTTACATGTGGAAATCGCTCTCATGAAAGCCAAATATGAGCGCCTCGACAATCATATATTGTTTGGTCTTGATCACCCCATCGCTTATGAAATGGCAGGATTTGAATGATGTTATGATGTTGTCATGAATACCAAAGTGACCTTGAAGTGATCTCCCGATATACCTCTCCCCATTTTCGTGGACGTGTAGCTTAGAAACTAGAGGAGCTTAGGTCTTGAGAAGGGCATTGTTGTGAACGGCATCGAAAGGTCTTCAAGATGGCTGTTTCAGTTCAAAACCCCATATAAATGTGGAACGCTCCCTTCTAAGAAACAGACAGCTAATCTTATACGTAATATAATGCATTAACTCCTACGCAACAGGCACTAGGCAATGTACAACCTAAACACGCTTCCATTTAATAAACCGTTCCTTCCATCGGCCAAAAATCCTACTGAAACCAGGGACCAAACGCGGACCACGAGATCTTTATTCTGACGCTCTACAAACTACCCCTGTTCATCCTCAGATCCTCCGGGAGTTGCTGTGCTGGACAAGTATGCTGACACGTACGGTCCGTGAAGCACAGCTGCGAAATAATACATATTTTGATATTATCTAAGATTCAAAACCTCAAAAAGATCTGAGTGTTTTACCAAACAGCTATGAAAAGATAATATATTGATATGTATAAGGCAGGTCTCCAAGTGACAGAGAGCCCATGGCGGAGGTGGCACACCAGGGAACCAGGCTGCACATAGTGTACTACGCTGAGTAAACACTTCTCCCAAACAAATTTTCAAAGCTTGGCCTGATTTCATCGAGCAGTAATTAAATGGGTCATTATTATATGCACAGTTGGATACTGCGCTTGGCTGTTATCGAGAGGGTGCCGTGCACTTCAGCTTTCTTAGTTATGTGCAAAACATGTCCCACAATCAATGCCAATGGTCAATAAAATGGATGGGAATCTGTGTGCCCCTTATTGTCCTAGCCTCGCTCACTTGTCAATACAGCTCACAGTTGCCGTTGTATAACATGCGCAAGAGTTGTCGAAATCGGAGTTGTGGTAATGTACAGTTTGTCCATTTATGCCTGCATTCTTCATATGTGCAGGAACCTGCAGTTTTTCACCACGATAGCACAGGCTATTACGTCAGATGCATTTGACCACTACCACGATTGTCACCAGTTTGCAGCCTTTATATTGCATAAGCGTTTTTGTTCTTTTTTCTTCTTTCTATCTCTTCTAATATATGTACATGCACACAAGTCTGTGTAAAAAAAAAATCCAGCTCAGCACATGACGCCAATCAAGTATTCGATAAAAACTCAAAACCTGCAGTCATCAGGCTATGTGAAATGGAAACGGAGGTCTTACACATATATTGCTCATTTTTCCCTCCGCGAACGTTTTCCTCCAACATTTCATAATACTTCGCGTTTTTGTGGCGTTGCTAAATGTGCGCAATGCTGCTCGAGAGGCGCAGACAGTATTTCTGGGCAAAATGCTAGTACTATGCTTGCTTGTGAGCAGCATGACAACCGACGCGGTGCTGGATGCCCCTGAATAAAGCATGCATAGTGAAGGAGGCCAATTTTAATAATATCAAGGATGTCATAGGCATTTATTCTGCGCTGTTGCATCATGTCTCCACTTGAGAACAGGTAACGCTATCTAGGAGCCGGAGTTTGGGAGTTTGGTTTTTGAAGATGGATATGGCATTGCAGTTGTTGCAACACATTCGAAAGCTGTGGGGAAGACAGAGTGAAATCGGCGAATTTTAGGGGCAGTGTGGATGAAAAATGTCTCCACTTTCCTAGAGCTGCCTACAATGCGTGTCCATGTATAGCGTAATGAATTGATCAGACTCCCCACCGTTTGAAATACACAGCATTTCTTTACTCTGTCAATGCCAAGCTAATATTTGATACAACATATACCTATTGCGGTTACTCTGATATTTGCCGGTACATGCCGGTTGGCAGTGTATTACAGCGGGCTTCTGCGGGTGGAGATCCGTAGCTGGCCTGAGCGGGCTGGGCTGCGGACTAACACTTTGGAAAAAGTCGCGTCTCGGGCACCGACGGCAATAGGCGTCACTGCCGACGTCACCCTTTGCCGACGCATGCGCCAACCGCACGGCCGCACGTCATTGGTCGCAGCTGTCATGACGTCACGCAGCACCTCCGGCAGTGTTGGTAGCGCGTGCGGCCAGCGGCCGGTCGCTCCGTAGTACGGGAGCTCAGGCCGTCGAGGCGGGGTGCGAGGAAGCGGGTCTGACGAAATGGTGATTTGAACAGATAGTGACCTCCTGAATTGGTGGTCTGAACGAAAAGTGACCGTCTGAAGTGAAGTGCGTGCCAAGATTTCGCCAGCTGCTCAACGACTGACGACTGTCCTTAAGGTGTGTTCAGGCGAGGGTCTTTCGACTGAAAGTATTCAATGACATGGTCATTGTGAATTGCTCATCTACATAATGTGTCGTTTCTGAAAGATTTAAGTCGCATTCTTAGATTGTGGCTTTTTAACTCCGTAGATGAAGTATATCATATCTTATTTCTCGACTTAATGCCAACCGCTAATATAGTATATTTATAAGTAATCTGAAAGTATAATATTATGTATTTAGCAGGTAATCCATACACCACTTGCTGGATTGGCCGCGTTGCGCACGGTTGGGTACATGGTTAGCTTCAACATTCTGGCGTTCCTTGATAAATGTATCGGCGTGGATGTGCGGCGTGCCCCTAAATGACGAGAACATTGTTCCAATCTTGCAACTGACGTTTTCGAGGATAAGGGACTCCTAAATGTGCGGTCGGAGGCCTCACACTACTGAAGATTGCTTTCTCAGAAAACCTTATTTGACTCAACACCTTAAAAACATGATCTTTTGGAAAAAAAACTGATAACCTCATTGATTGCCAAGCTGGAAATCTGCATTATGAAAGCGTACTTAATAATGTCGTCTGGTCCTCTGATGCTTGTTATCCGGCCTCGTACTCAGCCATGCGCGGCCAATCTGACGTGGTGGGCTGTTTTAGCTGTGTCTGACATTCCGGACCTGCGGAAACCCTCCGACCTGATTTCTGGCCTTTAGGTACGCTTTCCAATAACCGCGAAGTTTAACTGCACTAACTTGGCAACAACACTCCGCGGACAAGATGAATGGCATCAGCGCTATTAAAGAATCGTGTAATCGAGGGCAGGCGGCTTGTTCACATAGTACCCACTGGAGTAATATTTCCCATTACAGGCGTATGTAGTTTCCTATTCAGTTGAGGGCGTCACCTCCCCTTCCAGTGCTTCAGCCCCCTCCCCCCAACTTCGAGAGAAAAGTGGACTAAATCCGGGGAAAAAGAAAAATCGGGGTAGTTTCATTATCTTTCATGGTTTACCGCCCAACTCACTTTGCAAAATTACAATTGCATTTATTAATATGCTTGCCAATAGATGTCGGCCAAAAATAATCGTAGTGGACAGGTAACACCAGGTTGATGCAGAAGATGCGCCGTTATTTTACCCACGGTCTCAAGATCTGCGTATCTGCGGTGCTCTAAGCTGGGTCATCGGTGAAAAACAGTGAGCTGTGCGATCCCCCACATTACGAAATTCTGCTGCACACGCCCCTGATCAAGGAAACCAACACTGGGTGGTCTTACGTTGTGCTATCTGCTATGAAACTTCTCTTCTGATTTCCAACTAGTGAATGCTGGTCGCCTGCTGAAGCGTTATGTTTATGGAAGTAAATTTATAAGTCATCATGTATCGGAACACCCCACATGCTTTCAATGCAACAGATGTAGTCGGCGATGCGTCGTGCCGATAACCGTCCGTGATGCACCGCATCCAGGGCCACAACGGAGGAAACTTAAAGTTTATAATTTCCAGTCCCATCAAAGAATGTCTGTCACATGCCCTAATCGTACCTAAATTCAGAGTGTTTTTTCAGGATTTGAAAACAAACGTGCTTACAAATTTGCGCTGTGCGATTCCAGCTGGCCAAACATTATGCGGAACATGTTATTGATTCCACTGTGCCGAAGAAATACCTCTAAAAGCGCCATTTATGCTGGGATTTAAATTGTCCTTTCGTAAACTTCATGCTTATGCATCAGGTGAAACGGCACATTGAGGTGAGCCAACCAATGTACCGTGGATTTTGTCTTAATCATTTCAGCCCATGCAGCCCACAATGCGATACATTTTTTGGGAGGTTTTAGCGGAACAGATAAAACGGAATAAAACGCCAGCCTTTTAGATGATAAGAAGCTGCGGTCATTTTACTCGTAACTTGTTCTTTGCAGGGTTATGCTGAAGCACGTGCAAGTCAACCCGCTGCGGTCCTCGCTGATGCGGTCTGGCCAGAAGGCGGACACTCTGAGCATCAACTCCACCATGAGCTTCAGCTCACTGCACGAGCCGGCTCTGTCGTCTCGCTCCTCCTCCTACACATCGCTGAACGAGACCCAGAGCAGCACGGGCAGCACCAGCGTGCCGGCCACGCCCACGGTAAGACGGAGATCTGGACTGGGCCCGGATCTAGACCAGAGTCAGACCCAGAGCAGGTCCAGAACGGACCCAGATCCAGATCCAGATCCAGATCCCGACCAGACTAGATCCAGACCAGACTGAGGGCTGAGCGAGGGCAGCACGGGTGGAACCAATGCACCAGCTCCGGTGAGGCGGACGTCTTGACAAGACCCAAACCTTCCCAAGCAATTAGCGCGAGTATTCATTCCAACGTACTGCCGCGGGCACGAAGAATGCGCCACCACTTGCGTCAGTTGCGACCCAGGCGTAAGGCGCGCGTGAAAGGTCGTGGCCCAGCCGTGTCAACTAGTGCCGCGTCCGCGACACATGGCTGGGGGACACCTGGCGGCGTGCAGGCCGGGCTGCGCAGAGAGGTCAGAGCCGGCTGCCGTGTTTATCCAGCTCACCGCTGCGTTCCTACGCGGTGATACACGGCGGAATCCGGGGATCCCGGCCTGCTAAGTTGTGTTCCGTGTCTGGGCGCCTCGGTGCCGGATTACGTCAGCGACAGTCAGCTCGCTATCCTGGATCGTGACCCGTCCCGGCCCATGGCCCATTCTGCGGCGGCCGTTTCGCATTCCGCCGTCGGTAAAACTCCCTGCTATATGCCTCGAGCCTGGTACGGGGCAGGCCTCGGGGCCTAGGGGCCCCGGGCCTCGGCAGACGCGAGAGCCGGGCCCCGGGGCGGCGGCTCGATCAGTCGCGGAGGGTTCACATGTCCTCGACAGGACTGCGTCGCCAAAACAGGCCCTGGAATGCGACACGCCCGTTGGACGGGACGCGTTTCCCCGAGGGTGGGACAGAAATAGCGCGGGGCGCGGCGAAAGGGTTCGGTTCCCCTCAGCGGCGGCCTCCTCCGTCCAGATGGAAGAGTGGTGGGTGTCGTACCGTACGGTGCTGCGACACCGCGCGGCTGAGCGACAGCAGCGGCGGTCTGAAGGTCAGCTAGTAGTGGCACTGTTCCAGCGGCACGATGTTTGCGGTGCAAACTACGACACTCGTGGTTGCTGGGGCTCTCATCGGAAAGCGTCAGGTTTACTAACCCACTAACTTTGAAAGGAGAATCGGGCGGCAGACCGACGTTCCGAGCTTACGTAACCCGTCCTGGCTGGTCCCGTACAGAGCCGGCTAACCCATCAACAGGCGTAACCCGTCCTGGCTGGTCCCGTACAGAGCCGGCTAACCCATCAACAGGCGTAACCCGTCCTGGCTGGTCCCGTACAGAGCCGGCTAACCCATCAACAGGTGTAACCCGTCCTGGCTGGTCCCGTACAGAGCCGGCTGACCCATCAACAGGCGTAACCCGTCCTGGCTGGTCCCGTACAGAGCCGGCTAACCCATCAACAGGCGTAACCCGTCCTGGCTGGTCCGGTAAAGAGCCGGCTAACTCATCAGAGCCCAGTGCACCTGTTCCGGGGAAACGGTTTGAACCACCGCTTTACACTTTCCGGTTGTAATCATTTCATCTTCTAAGTCTCATTTGACATATCGAGCTCGACGAGCAATATCAGACCTGCATTTACACGGAATATATAGACCCATCCAGCGACCCAGTCGACTCAGTTTGCCACATACGTACCAAGCTTTTCCCTCGGAAAAATCCACTGTAATTCCTTATGGTCCCCCACTGTTGCCGGACCTTTGTTCGCGCCTTTTGCTGCAAGTAGGCTGTTCTTGGAATGCGCCGAACTAGCGAAGCGTTTACATTCCCACACTCTCTGGAATGTAATGTTGTTCAGCTAAGGTGTCACTGAGATTTGCTTGAGTCTCGTTACTCTACCAGATTTACTAATTAAATGTAAGCTGGGCATGAGCAACGTGTCCGAGACGTGTCAACCTGCCATTGGTAGATGTTTTGAAAGTTTTCGGACACGAATGACGTTATCATTTATTCAGTCGGTAAGATTCTCATATCCTCACACCCCGGTAAGTGAATGCGAACATGCGTACCTCGCTTATCGTCATGCGTCCATACATAAGCGCGTGAAGAACAGCCGGCTGGTGGGGTAGATCACCGGTACCCTTTAACATGCGCGTTATAGGCACAGGAATGGGCGCGTTATAGGTACAGAAATGGGGAATCCGTGTGGCCATGGCACCCCTAATTTTCGAGAATGCTGAACATTATTTCTGTGGCGACGCATGAAAAAATCCACTTCAAAGTTGACCTTGTGTCCCCTCTCCTCGCCAGTTTTTGAGACGTTGCTTCACGTTAGATGAGGGCATTGTAATAGCTATGGGGTATGGAGAATGCTGGCAAAAAATAATTGCTGTGCAATTTCCACGTTTCAGACAACCGTGAAGGTGTACACGCGCTGCCTGCGACCCGACCTCGAGTACAAGACCATGTGCGTCAAGTACACGACCACGTGCCGGGACGTGGTGGACCAGCTGCTCAACAAGTACCGCATGAAGCACCGCGACCCCAATTTGTTCTTCCTCACCATGGAGGTGGCCACCAGAAGCACAGGTCAGTCCAAGTGACAGCTCTTCGCCAGCGCCGGTCTTGCCGTAGAGAGGAGCGTGGACTGGCCAGCCGGTGGGTGGGGCCGGCTCCGCCGCCTGAGCCCGCTGGATGTCGAGGTCGCCCGCCCAGCGGGCCGGGTAAGGGGTTCGGTCACCAGCAGACAGCGGGCGGTAGGCCGGGTGGCTCAGGCTCCCTGCTGCTCAGCCAGGTGTGGCGCCCGGCTGAGCAGCAGGTCGCGTCAGGGGATTGCCGTCGAGATTGGGACGCTGCGGCGAGTGCGGCGCCCTGCCAGAGCGCGCCGCGGACCGGGGCCGCGCGCGGCCGTCGCGGTCGCGCCACATGCGTGACAGCGCCGGTCGCGGTGGCCGACCAGTGCCACAAGGTGGTCGCGTGCCGTCCGCTCGTCTGGCCCGGCCGTAGAAACTGGGACAGCGGCATTGTGTGCACTGGGTGGGCAGGATGGGGTCGGCCGAGGTCAATTAAGGTCGCACCACTAAAGAATGGCGGACAGTTTGTCAGTGCTGGGCTGTGCGGTGCTGGACTACTTCGGCCGTAATCACGTGACCAGGGGTGTGACCTGCCTGCTCCCCGGTAAAATGATTATAGTGCTCCATACAGTTCATACCGCCGACTACCACCGACACCGGGAAATGGAGCATGCCCCAATCACGACAGCGGGGACTGAGCGGCTGCGTTATTGACAGGTGCTTCTGTGCGGACGATCCTGGTGCTGGACGACGACTCGTGTCCAGCCCAGCTGCAGGCCTGCTACCCGCGCGCCGACTCCAAGTGAGAGCGGATTTGGTGATCTTTGCCAGAAGTCTCATTGCGCCGTCCTCTGCCGGTCATCCAATGTTCAGCTCCCACATTCCCGGGTCCCGTGACGTCGCAGCCTGCGCTGTTGAAGTTGCGGACGGCTCTCAGCGCACCCCCGTGAACCTCACTTCCCTTATTCCTCACACATTGGGGCCCTAAATCCCGCTAGCGACGGTGTCAACACGCCGGCGACGCGACGGCCACAACGTCCGGCCACCCACGTCTGTGTGAAATGTCCCCGGAAACCGTCGTTCTGCCCGGCGCAGATCGAACTGACCTCGCGTGTGAAAACGCCCGCCGCGACCGTACGCAGACCAGGTACTAGCGCGGTCCGGCTGGCCGTGGGCGTGCCTCGCGTGCGACAGCGTGGGCGAGCACGCCTGTGGGAACTGGGGCGCAGCCGAGTCATGACCGTCGGCTCCCTCTGCCGCAGGTTTACCGTCCGTATGCGGCACGGAGGCCTGGTCAAGGTGTTCGACAGCGTGCTCATGGCCGAGGTGGGTCTGGTGGCCGCGTGGCGTGTGGTCTGAGCGGTCTGGTGCTGTCTGTGAGTGCACCTCTGCGGATGCTGTCAGTTGTTCGGCTTGTGTTCGGTATCACTTATTCTGTGAGGATTAATATTAGATAGGATTAATATGTGATAGGAACAAGTGTTACATGAGGAATAGGTGATAAAAAGTTCGTTGTCTGGTCGTACAATACTTCGGAGCCTTGCCTCGTCAGCTTTTATGGTTTGCATGACAAAGTTAAGAGTTTCGAATTCGAACACTTCATTGTGATGTCGCCCGGCTCACTACCCTCTCAATTCCTTTAGCCTTCCCGCTGGCGTCATATGAACTCAACCATTTATTTTTACAGTCCAAGTACAAGAGCCTGCTGGTTTCGGAGAGAACAACAGTGGATCAAATGATCCAGCTGCTGCTGAACTGCTACAACTCCACGGAGAGCGTCAACCTGTTCAGCATTTACGAGGTACAGAAACAAAAAATCATCACCGTCTTGGTGGTAACCGTACCTTGTTCACATGGTAACCGTACCTTGTTCACATGGTAACTATACCTTGTTCACATGTTTCTTTAACAAAAAACCTCATAGTTCTTGGAGAACATTGGCTGCGGTCGTTTTGTGCGAGAAGCTTTCGTATCGATCGCAACTCAGCCTCAGTAATTGCGACTATTGATGACATTAGACAGTGCGTCCGGTTTATATTCTTGTTCCGTGCAGATATGTCGCTCAATCAGCATCAGCTTCGAGCGCAAGCTGCATCCGGACGACCGTCCGCTGCTCATACAGCAAGAGTGGGCCTCCAGCAGCGACTACAGCTTCGTGCTGAGGAAGCGGCCGCCGGGCACACCGCGCATCGGACGGGACTTCCCCCTCAGGCGATCGGTAAGTGACCTCCGGCTGACCTTGTGGGTAGCGTTTATTAAATCAGCAAATGAGAAGTGGTCTTGTTTGTACTTCAGTTTTCCGGGGGTGTGCTTGCTGCGCAGCCGTTCGATGAGATCGTAACTCAGGTGACACCGGAGTGGGCGTTACCATCCGACCGAAGATGCCGCCTGCGACGTCATCACACCCTGGGTGGCCGCTGCAGAGTTGTGCAGAGTGGGCACAGCTTGTTTGTGGACGGGAGCCGGTCTTGGCGGCCCACCATTCGTCCCGGGCTGTCAGTAAGCTGGAGCCGGGAGCGGCTGAGACGGACCAAGCTGTTGTTACAACCGCTAGAGCTGTCGCCAGACCACCGTCCCAGCGACAGGCCGCCGTCATGGTCTGGGCCTCTCTGCACCGTTGTGTCTCGTGTGGCGGGTGGCGGGTGGTGGCCCGACCCTCTCTCACCGCGGTCCGCCCCTGTCTGCTACAGTTCCTGCACTGGAGCAGGAGCCGCGAACTGAGCCGGGTCGGGCTGGAGACCGGGGCCGGCGAGGAGCGCCGCTCCAGGAGCCTGCGCGCGCCTTCACTCTCACTGGCTCTCGCCAAGGACCACGACAGCTTCCTCTACATTTGAGGCGTCGCAGCTGCCGACCCTCCAACTGTACCAAAGGTGGGCGAACGCAGCACCCGCTATCCGCGCGTCATCGACGCCTCTGAGTCATCCAGTGGCTGAGAAGCGTGCCGGTCATGGCTGACACATAACTGATGAGAATCGGTCCTCAGGCGAGTCGGTTTGTCACGGCGCGGCGCGGGAGTGTGACGTCACGTGCCGCGGACCGCCAGTCACCGCCGGGTGCCGGCCGCTGTTCCAGATCGGCGCCGGTGGTCGCACCCCTGCTCAGAACCTCGCGCGGTCCGGCCGCTCTGCCTGCAGAACGGCCGAGCAGCCGGCGGGGTTCCAGCGCCGCCATCGCCGCCAGCGGCATCCTCCGGCGACTCCAGACGAGGCGCTCTGTTCCTGGAGTCGCGGGCAGGACTGCCGCCGTTGACTCCTTGTGTCCCTGTGCCAGGACGCTGCGTAGAGCGCGGTGGCGGCATGCGAGCGCGAGAATTGCTGTTTTCTGTTTGTGTTGCACTGGCGTTGCTCGTTCCGTGGAAAATGGCCAGTGTTTCTGTTTGATGTATTGAGGGACGATATCCCAGTGTTAATTTGTTATTCAGTCATGAGATGAACAGTGTGACAATGAAGCCACTATCGGCGGCATCTACCATATTTTATCAGTCTCGCATTTATCTAGTCACTTGAGCATATTCTTGTCTTCATTATATCAGTCATGGAATATAATTGTCTAAACAAGTGTAAAATGGTTTGACCCGATGCCTGTAAACGGCTACCGCATGCCGACATACAGCAGAGAGAACAGAACAAAGCGCTGCAGCGGCACCGCTCGCCGTCACAGATTCTGCCTTCCTTGATGCATGCAACCATTGTGACGTTTGTTTCTCCACGGACGCGAGCGTCGCTACCGGTATTATCTTCTCTCAGCTCCGGCCAGTCTGAGCCCCTGTCGAGAGTGACAGCAAACCGCTTCACAAACAGACGGAATGGCCTGTTTGTTTTGCCGCCGCCGCCATTGTTCTTGGCCGCGTCGCGGGGACGCCGCGGATTGCCGGCGCCGACAGCTGGCGATCGTCGGCGCCGACAGCCGACGATCGTCGGCGCCGGCAGCCGACGACGGGCTCAACGCGTAGGAAAACAGACCCCGGACGAGGCGCCGCGGGGCGGACACGCACTGCGAGCGCTCATTGAGAGGCGTTTTCCTGGAATGCGTAATCCCTACCAGAAATGAACGTCATCGACTTTGATCGGGTTCCATAGACAGGCATTCTTCCGGGCGGAAAACTGGCCACGTGGCAATGGTTTGAGACTACGCGACGATACGTTTTCTTCTGAGGTCTCCTTCATATTCACAAATGTGGCGAGGTGGTCTTTGGTACGGAACGGTCAGCAGTAGCCTGCGAATACAAGCGTAACTGAATTCGTCGATCAATAACGTGATACCTGAGCACAGTACAGCAGTCTACGTCACAGTTCACAGACTTCGGAAAGTCCGAAGCACAACTTGAAGACTGTACAGTTCAGAAGCCTTCGAAAGAATGCAGCAAATCCAAGCACCGAGAATTAAATTCCATCTCGCATTTCATCGTCTTGGGGGAGCAATGTGCTCACCGAGCATGACGCACCAGAACACGAAAAGATCAATGCTGCCATTGAAATTACAGCCCAATAAACGTCGACACACCAAAAACAGCGCAGCACGCCCCAAGGACAGCCCCGACAGCTGAATGGTCCATTCACAGAGCGGCGTAACGGTCTTCCAGATTCTGGCGCATGCCTTCTATTGGAGAGAAAAACACGTCGACGGAAACGGAGCAGCTGGTCGGGGCGCCATTGGCGTCATCTGATCCGTCTCTCCGCACGGCCGGATGTTTTCTGTTCCCGCTGACTTCCCGGGCTCATGTAGGACGGACTGCTCTCCCCGGCCTTGCCGAGATCCCTGCTGTACAGCCAGGCGGCCGCCCAGAGCGGGCAGCGGCGGCGTCATCTCGGTGCTTCGCTCGCGTGAGTGTGGCGGAATGTCGCGGCGTCACCTTGACGCACACGTGATGTGTGGCGGCGCCATCTTAACGTATGCGTGATGTGTGGCAACGTTGTCTTGTCGCACACGTGATGTGTGCCCGTACGCGTGATGTGTGGTCGCGACATCTTGACGCACGCGTGATGTGTGGCCGCGATATCTTGACGCACGCGTGATGCGTGGCCGCGACATCTTGACGTACGCGTGATGTGTGGCCGCGATATCTTGACGCACGCGTGATGCGTGGCCGCGACATCTTGACGTAGGCGTGATGTGTGGCCGCGATATCTTGACGCACGCGTGATGCGTGGCCGCGACATCTTGACGCACGCGTGATGTGTGGCCGCGATATCTTGACGTACGCGTGATGTGTGGCCGCGACATCTTGACGTACGCGTGATGTGTGGCCGCGACATCTTGACGCACGCGTGATGCGTGGCGGCGTCATCTTGACGTACGCGTGATGTGTGGCCGCGACATCTTGACGTACGCGTGACGTGTGGCCGCGACATCTTGACGCACGCGTGATGCGTGGCCGCGACATCTTGACGCACGCGTGATGCGTGGCCGCGACATCTTGACGCACGCGTGATGCGTGGCGGCGACATCTTGACGCACGCGTGATGCGTGGCCGCGACATCTTGACGCACGCGTGATGCGTGGCGGCGTCATCTTGGCGCTCTGTTCACGTGTGCACGGCCCATGGTGGAGGGAGGTGCTCAGTCTCGCCGGCGATGACAGAGGACTGGTTTGCTGGTCTGTGGCGCGCTATCCGTGCTCCGAACGTCCTGGACAGCGATGCCGTTGTGTTTGCGGACAGCAATTTGAAGATCACCAGTCCGGTTGACAAACAACGGAACAGCTGCACGCAAACAAAGGGCTACTAATTCCGTCCATTGCTTATTCGTGCATGTGTTAATGTTGAACAACAGCCACAAATAAGCAACTAGGTAATGGTGACAAGTCCAAGTCGCGGACATTCAATAATGAAGCGAATTTCTCTTCGGCACTTGCCGGATAAGCCTTTCTTTACCACAAGATTCACTGCGTTCTTGACAACTCGTCAACTTGGCCCCAGCACAGCGCAGTGCGGCTTCCCGCGCGACCAGACCAGCTTGGCTGCAGCGGTTCCGGTGGCTGCTCTGGCTGGCGGCTGAGGCTCGCCGCGCCGCACGTCCGTCGCAGCTACAAATGGCCCGCCGATCCGAGCAAACAAACACGCCGGCGAGCTGCCGCCGGAAGTCCCGGCTGGGGACGGCGAGGCCCGGCTGGGGACGGCGAGGCGCCGCCTCTGACGCACCAGGCCCGCCCGCAGCCGCGCGCACGCTCTGGGATACCCGGAGAACCTCTCTCACCGAGGCCGAACACGCTCGTGGCTCGTGGCGTGGTGTTACGGAGCATACGCATTTGGTGCGTCACTCGCTGCAGGTGTACTAGCATCGGAAGAAGACGTGAAACAATTTGTTTTAGTATTTATGACGACATTTCGGTTTCCTGAGTGTGCCGTTTCTTTGACGTTTGAGGAAAGCGCTTACAGCCTAATGTTCTATTTGATCAATATGATTATTTCATCCCCGATCACCGTTGTCTGGCCTCATGTGCTGACGAGGTGTGTTTAATGAAGACCAGTCACCGGCGCACCATTTGACATCACAGCATTCGACTTTCCTTCCTGCCGGAGGCCGCGAATTACTGGGCAGGTGCAGTCGGCTTCCCGCTCGCTGCCCGACCTCTGGCATGCGCTCGCCCACGCTTTCGCCGCGAACGACGCTGAGCGAGCGCTCTCGAACGGCACGGAGCCGGCCAGCAGGGGCCGGGTTTCTGACGCACTTGCAGCCTTGCTCCAAGGTGTGGGGTACAGCCCTTCTCCCTCGCCCATTTCCCTCCCTACCCTGACCAATATTCCGTTCCTTCCCAAATTTCCTGTCAGTATCACCAACGTTGAACTTGAGGCTGATGTCATCCGCGGAGGACTTCAGTTATGCTGAGCCTAGGTTAGGCCTCATGCCACCGGTGCATACCCTGAATCTGATGTATATAAGCTACACTCGCGCCAGCCGCATTCCAACGTGGCATAACTGCACCAGGCGGGCCACGGCAGAACACCGCGTCAGCGACTCCGCGTGCGGTCAATTACGGCCACGTGGTGGCTCGAGGCGAAGCGAGGAAGGCTGCTGGGACGGCGCCGGTGTCCGGTGCCTGCGGCCGCGGGCTGCAGGGCGGCGCCGCTGACCGGCGGCGGCGCCAGGTCGGCCGTGACCGGACGTCGGACGGTGACCAGCACGCTGCAGCTAATGCGGCGTCCGACACGGTCGGCAAGTGGAGCGTGGAGACGCGGCTTGGGCGACACGGCCCCGGCTGCCCGCTGGCGCCCCACACAGCTCCGTCAGACTGGCTGGGAACCTGACACAGCTCCGTCAGACGGGCCGGGAACCTGACACAGCTCCGTCAGACTGGCCGGAGACCTGACAAAGCTCCGTCAGACTGGTCGGGAACTTGACATAGCTGCATCAGACTGGACGGGAGCCTGACACAGCTCCGTCAGACTGGCTGGAAACCTGACACAGCTCCGTCAGACTGGCCGGAAACCTGACACAGCTCCATCAGACTGGCCGGGAACCTGACACAGCTCCGTCAGACTGGCCGGAAACCTGACACAGCTCCATCAGACTGGCCGGGAACCTGACACAGCTCCGTCAGACTGGCCGGGAACCTGACACAGCTCCATCAGACCGGCCGGGAACCTGACACAGCTCCGTCAGACTGGCCGGAAACCTGACACAGCTCCATAAGACTGGCCGGGAACCTGACACAGCTCCGTCAGACTGGCCGGGAACCTGACACAGCTCCATCAGACTGGCCGGGAACCTGACACAGCTCCGTCAGACTGGACGGAAACCTGTAACGGTTCCGTCAATCTGGCTGGGAACTTGACACAGCTTCGTCAGACTGGACGGGATCCTGACACAGCTCCGTCAGACTGGACGGGAGCAGGGCACAGCTTTATTAGGCAGGTTGGGAAGCCGACACAGGTCCGAGTTTGACACAGTTGCATAGAGCTGGTGGGCCTCGCCACAGCTCCGTCAGACCAGCAGGACGCCCGACCACGTGGGTCCGATGCGGGGCTCCGGTGCCGGTCACGAGCGGAGCCTCATCAGAGGGCTGTAGGTGCGGGGCTCCGGTGCCGGTCACGAGCGGAGCCTCATCAGAGGGCTGTAGGTGCGATGGCCGGCGGCTGTTTAGTGCCGGCGTCGCGTCCTCGGCAAGCCCGGCACGGT